AGGTGTTTGAATTTTCGATAATGAACTTTGGTTTGAGGAATGCGTTACAATTTTTCTCGAAAGTTCTTAGACGAAGCGACTTTGGACTTTTGTCATTGTAACTGAGACAATTTCCTTATATTTACAAAATAATGGGCAGCATGAAAAACCTTTACGAAAAATATTTTAGAGACTTAAAGGGTGTGGCATATTAATTAAGTAACGTCTTAATGTATGTTTCCTATTTCGGTGACAGAAAAATATATTTTCTCTGTATCGAGATGCTCTATTAGTAGTATCTCGAGATCAGGCACCATACAACTAGAATCAGAATTCTAAGCCATAAAAAAATCATTGCCTACAAACGTATACCAAGACGCTTCGACGTTTGTTGGGCACGGTCAATTGTAACTGGCAGTTCTTAGTTTAACATTGTTCAAGGCGTATTGCCAATCCTTTTACACGTGCAGTCTGTGGACTGACTATACGCGGCAGGCCTACAGTGCTCTGCGTGTTCAGTACAACAATGTGCTGAGGGTGATGTTGAGGAAGCCTCCACACTGCAGTGCGTTGGCCATGTTTGCGGATGCTCGTGTGGACGACTTCTACGCGATCATGCTAAAGCGTGCCGCGTCCATGATGAGCAGGCTATTGAGGAGCTCCAACACCCCTCTCAGCGCATTGGCTGTGAAGTTGGATAGCCCGCTTTGGAGGGCTTGGAATGGTGCACACACCAGCACCAGGAGAATCCCACCTGGAGTTCGCTATGTGAGGCTGGGGGTAGGTTAAGCTACTAATATAGGAAAAGTAATTTTTTGACTAACATTTTAATATTAACTTCTATTTTATTTTATACTAACATTAGGCTAAGTAAGTTTTTAAGTTATATTATTATTAGTACGAACTATAAACCCATACAAGCTCAACCATATTAAAACGCATAATTAAAATAATCAAACAAATAATAATTTCCAGTCCTGCCAAGATTGTCTTTTTGAAAACACGCCCTTGTTGCACTCCCCGTCGCTAACCTCGTAAAAAACATTATTAAAAATTGTCGAAAATATGAGAAACTAGCTTTTTACCCGCGGCTTCGCTCGCATGCGCTTGAATTTAGGGACATCATTAAATGCTGTTCCGTGTCAAATTTAGAAATATTCGATGACTTTTAGAGTCACCTTGGTGTCTATGTCTCTATGTCTGTCAGAGATTTTTTTCATTCTAAAATACTATTAGACGTAGATGATTGGTAACATGCTACAGAAACACGTGAATATACTTATAATATGTCTAGAAACTCCTACTATTTTTTATATATGGCGTGTCTTCCGATTCCGATGTATCCATAAAAAAGGTACATAGTCTTGAAATCAAAATGTATTTCTATTATTACTTACATTTTACTCTTTACATATATATATTCATAGTTAAAGTAAATTTAGTTTTAACAAAGTAATATAATGTTTATTAGAAACATTTTATTCATATCATTGGTCCTATTTAATATTGATTGGCACCATAAAAAGATATATATATTTTTATTTACTTCTAAAAATTTCATAAATACAGTTCTATAATAATAAATACCACACATGGATTAAAACTAATGTTACGGGTTTTTTACGCATCTTGACTCCTCACCGAATGAAAGCACTGAAGCTCCGGGAAGTCTAAAGTATGTAAACATTTTTATCGTCCCAACCATTATATACAACAAATTCTTGCAATAGAACACCGAATCCTACCAATGATGATTCGCGAGGCTATTGAAATTAAAAATATCCTAATTTTAATAGGGAAGATGGCTGAGTGCTACTATCTGCTAAGGACATGATTAATAAAATTAAATTCAAACTACTACTGCATTTTAACTATTCTATTTTAACTATGACATCAGGTCGTCAAACACCTCAGTTCTCCCACCCCTCCCGTGACCATGCTATAAATTGGTGCTATAAATTGCCCAAACCATCGGGAATTTAAAAAGTTAAAATTAAACGCGAATAAAATCCTTAAAATTACTTTTATTCCTTATAAATTTTATACACAGTGAACGTGAGGAACACTACACTCATGAACGGGAGTAGAAAAATGTTCGCACTGTTGTGGCGGTGAAAGAAAATCCAACACATCATATCGTCCCGTCGTAAGAGGCGACATAGGAAAAAAACAGTAGATGGGATGGGCTGCATCATCTTCTTGACAACAGATCAAAATAATAATACAGCGGTTGCCAACCCGCCACTATAGCAAATATCCAGCTACTTGACAATTTATGGGGGAGGCCTATGTTCATTTCAGTGGACTTTTGATAGGCTGACGATAATGAGTTCTGCTCATCTTTGCAAGCCTTAATATTTACGGTAGAGTGAAAACATAAATTATCATATCCGAAAACACGAATGAAATAGAAACTGCATACATTGCCGCATGAAAAGTAAAAAAGCAGCTTACATACATGCTACTACTGGCACAGGCTGTAGAGTTTTTGGCCAAAAAAGAGTTCGCTGCACTGATTCCAACGCGGGATGAACGTAATGTAAATGATTCAATTATTTACATCGTATATTCAGTAGCATTATATTATTTCATTTTATCAATGCCTTGCCATTTTAATTTATTTAGAAGTATGTAGGTGGCGCTAATATTACATGAAATAATGAAAGCCAAAACTATACAATCTAGTAATATCAGCAATAGAAACGAACATTTATTTATTATATCAATATCAAATCAATAAGGGATAAACTGATGCCAATTCTCTTAAAAGTTCTGTTTCTGTTAAACATAAGCATCAGCGCCGCTAGCGGTGAAAAACGATAATGATATCGTCATATGACCATATTATGAAATAGCAACGTTGTTTAGTTACTAATAACTCCAAAAGATTTCTATTCATTGATTTGGTCAAGCTATATAATGACACGGTCATCAAATAGTGTTAAATTCACATTCATTTCAGTAATTTTTTCAGTGTTTTCACGAAATGATAGACTACTTTATGATATATGATCAATTCTACGATCTGGCCACGACTTACATAAAAATGTCTTTAATAAAACTATGATGATAATGAAAATTTTGCAACAATTGCAGACAGACCAGTTTTTATCACTTTACATATATATTAGTAATTGAAATAAATACCTTATCAATTTTCATATTTTTGATAGACATCACTATTATCTATTGAAATTATTACACTTTTAAAATAAAATAACAAAATACTAAAAAACTGAACGTTACAATATTAATAATTTTAAAAATCTAATAATTTAATCATATAAATGTAAGTTATTTCTATTATTTCATTTATTAGTAACTGAAGGCAAAATATACAACTTTTTCCATTTGATGATAGATGGCGCTGTTTTGAATACGAAATCGGTGTAGTTTCAAATTATTTTACCAAGATTATAACTATATTTTAAACTTTATTTACAAAAATGGTAATATGGTATTTATTTGAAAAACACCCGTCTTTCCGCCTATAACTAAGATACAACAGAAAATTAACATCTAAAGGAAATTAATATACTTAACCTTCCCTTTTTTGAAGTTCCGTAATCGGATAAAAAATAGCCTATAAGTTGCCCCGGGTTACTGACTACCTACATACAAAATTTCATGTAAATCAGTTCAGTAGTTTTTGCGTGAATCCGGAATACACAGACAGACAGACAGACAGACAGAAAGACAGACAGACAGACAGACAGACAAAAATTCTAAAAACCACTAATTTGGCTTTAGAACCCTTTATTTAGTCCCCTGGACTTGTTTTTTCAAGAATATATTAGAATTACAGACACGACTTTTCTACAGATTTATTATATGTATAGATAATGGTCAATTAATTGGTGTCCACGAGGAGAATATCCATAGTATAAACAACAATAGAGCATTTTGCTAATATCAAACTTTAAGTAATAAAGGTTTTTTTTTAACTTTTTGGTATAGGAAACTGAAGGATAATATACTTAATCCGATTATTTTCAATTATTGTGGAATGTTATATTTTTAATGTTAGTTTAACTGGTAGAAGTATTTATATGTGGTAGAGTCATGCTGCAGCTATATTAATTGTATAGTTGTAGCACGAATGGGTCGGCTCTGCCGGGTATGGACTACGCTCTCACAGAATACCTGCGTAAAATGAAAAAACCGGAGACCCTATTTACTGGAAAAGAGGCATTCCATCTTAGTCCTCTCGGGTGACAACGCATCTGCAGTTTGATTCTTTATTGAGGATAGATGTAGATGTTTATGGGTCACAGCAACCACTTACCATCAGGTGGACTGCTTGCTCGTTTGTCACAAATAAGCCACAATTTTGATTTTATAATATTCCTGTATTTTGTTCATGATGAATATCGTGATAGGGCCAAGATATTAATCATGAACGTTTTTAAACACAAATTACATCAACATAATCCTGTCCTGCGCCGATGGCTAGTCTCCGTTGAGACTGGCCGCCGTTACCAAAATTCGGTCTGGAGGACATTATTATTATTATTATGGGGGTTATCTATAAAGTTTTCTCATCTGGTTGGGCTGTTTAAATATATAATTGTAAACGAAATATATAATAATACATAAATATCAATAAAATAGAATAAATACATAAAAAATACATAAATATATAAAAAATACAAAAATATATATTATTATTATTATGGTATGTAATGGCCTGCGTTCGCGCTTGGAATGATCGACCTGAATGACCCGGTACGTAGTGTTTATCCCCACCACTTTTCGTCACACAAAAAGGTTGCAGATCAGAATTTCAAAGCCCTCCCGCAAAAAGTTAAACTCCAAAAAAGGAGCAGACTTCGTCAAGACAAGTTTAGCTTAATATGTTCTTAATGGTTTAAGGTATCAGTTGCAGGTTGCAGTTGCCTTTTACGACAGAAGAGAAAATCAGGTGATAGATTAGCCACTTCCACACTGCACACTATCGCTTGATTGCCAACTTAAAGCAAAATTTTGCGTTACGAAATAATTTGTGTTTCTTGAAATTCCAGGGTTTGGCGCATACAACATATATCACATGCTTCTAAGCGGTATTATCCTGATGGGGGTAATCCTTCAGAACCTCGGTCTGGGCTACGTGTTGCCAGCAGCGCAGTGTGACCTTGAACTGACCATGCAACAAAGAGGCTGGCTGGCTGCATTACCATTCTTAGGTAAGACGAAAACAAAGTTGCATTTGATAACTATTATCTTTTTCTTCTTCTTTATCAGCCCCTAAAAGTTCACTAGACATGAACATTTAACATTTCAAAAGGAAAAAGGCAGAAAGTAAAAAAAAAAAAAACAAAAAGACAGACCTTCAAGAAAAGAGCCTACTCATTTTTAAAAGGCCGGCAACGCATCTGCAATTCCCCTGGTTCCCCTGGTGTTGCAGTTGTTCATGGGCGAGTCAGTTGTCACTTACCATCAGGTGAGCCGCATGCTCGTTTGCCCCCTCTTCTATAAAAAAAAAGAATGATGGAAGTACCAGATATCTCGGAGCATTGAAGCTGCTCATCGCCGCTTGTACTGCCTGGCCCTGCTCATCTCTCTGGTCGTGTTGGATTACCATCCCATTCGGACTATGAGAGTAAGGGGAATAGAGAGTGTGCTTGCGCATACGCTTGGGTACTATAATATATATATACTATACTATACTTGTGCTAAACTGTTTGACACCATATTATTAGGCGTTATTTCCAAATATATACAAATTAGCGATGCTCAATTTGGATTTAAAAAAGATAGTTCTACGGATGCGGCGATTTTTACTTTAAAGCAAACCGTTAGTTATTATTATAAGCGGAAAACAAATATTTATGCATGTTTCTTGGACTTAAGTAAGGCTTTTGACAGAGTCAGTTATGATATACTTTGGAGGAAGTTACGTGATGCGGGAGTGCCGTCATTATGTATTAACATATTGATCGCATGGTATAGTAGGCAAATTAATGTAGTAAAGTGGTGTGATACATACTCTAAGGAATTTCTTCTACAATGCGGTGTGAGGCAGGGATGGCTAACATCGCCTATGCTTTTTAATCTGTATGTTAATCAGCTGATCGAGGAGCTTAGAAGCACCAGACTGGGTTGCCACATTGGTTCTCAATGCTTTAATAACTTGAGTTATGCTGATGATATGGTGCTGCTGAGTCCCTCGATTGGTGCGCTGCGTGCACTACTCCAGATATGTGAGAAATATGCAATGGATCATAATCTATTGTACAACACCAACAAGTCTGTTTGTTTGCTTTTTAAGAGTGGTAGGGTTCAACCTCATATCCCCCCATTGTATTTGTGTAATTCACAATTGGAGTGGGTAACGACGTTTAAATACCTGGGTCATATTGTTACTCAGGATCTGCGTGATGGTTCGGATATGGACCGCGAGCGTCGTTCCTTGTCAGTGCGTGCCAACATGATAGCTAGACGCTTTCAAAGGTGTTCTTATACCTCAAAGCTGGCGTTGTTTTCAGCTTACTGTCAGCCACTTTACACTCCTCAGCTGTGAACGAATTACACTAAAGAGGAATATCGCAGGCTGAAGGTGCAGTATAATGATTCGTTCCGCGTGTTATTCCGTCAGCCACGATACTGTAGCGCGTCTCAGATGTTCGCAGTCCGTCACCGATTTTATCGCGCTATTTAGAAGTTTTGTTTTTGGGTCGCAGAATAATCTCATCAAAATTATTTGTAATATGTATGCATGTAGTGAAATTTTTAGTAGATGGTCAAATTTATTAAAATGTAATTAATAAAATGTAATAATATCATTGATTAACCAATAATTATAATTAAAATTTAAGGTATAGTTTAAAAAATTTAATTTTAATTTTGTAATGGATCTGTGTTGTCTGTATCAAATAAATTATTATTATTATTATTATAATCTTGTCGTGCGCCGATGGCTAGTCTCCGTTGAGACTGGCCGCCGTGACCGAAATTCGGTCTGGAGGACATTGGTATCTGCAATTAATCAGAATACATCACTGTTTTTCGAAACTACTTCTAAGACGGAACGGGCAACACTGGAAAACAGAAGTCGTGGTTCGTCACCGCCACGCCTAACTCTCAGTGCGACCCCTTTACTTTAATAAATTTATTGTAATTACTGATTAATGGCCTTTTTATTTAATTTTAGCCGTAATCCTGACTTCATACTTCTGGGGCTGGTTAGCTGACACCCGCGGACGTCGTCCCGTGATGCTCTACTCGATGCTTATTTCCGTTTTCACGTCTGTGTTCGCAAGTTTCGCGCCGAATTTAACCTTATTTGCTATGCTGCAATTCTTTTCGGCCATTTTGTAAGTATCTGTTCTCTATACAATATTTTGAGTAAAACAACACTTTGATTTCACCCATAATGGATTCTGACACTAAGCGTACCTACTGATATTTTTTTTATAAAATAAGGATGGCAAATAAACACATAGTCCATTTGATAGTAAATGGCTGCTGTGGCCCATAGACATCTACAACTATCACCGACTAAGAATCAAAATGCTGACCAGTACAAAAAGGGTCTCTGGTTCTCTACACTCACCATACGAAACACAGCAGCATTAAGCTGCTATTTTACGCTGGTATTCTGTGAGAGCATGGTTCTTCCACTGGTCGAGCTGACCCATTGGTGCTACAAAAAAAATATAGCTGGAGCATAACCCTACCACGTATAAACCTAATCAGTAAAATTACATTTATTATACCTTTTTGGAACGTTCACTTATATTGTTTTAATTATTATTATCTTCCTACAAGTTTCTCTGTATGAACTCAAACAAAGATTATACTGCATTAGCAAGCTGTAATGTCCATAATCCTATGTTATAAGTAAAAGAACCGACAACAGATCAACAGATGAGGGGAAAATGATCTCGAGTGACAGCTTTGTACTGGACAAGACCAGTGTAGGACCTCTCCGCTAGATAAAGTGAGCACCTATTGAGGCATAGGTATCGAATATGCAGGCACAGAACCATGTTTCGTGACAGATTTTGTGAAGACCTGATAATATATATATATTTGAATTTGAATTACAGAATTGAATTGAATGTCATAAGGGTAGACACGTATTTCTATGCTCCGGGCTTTTTTAATTGTGAACCAATATAAAAACAAAAGATCATTGTTGTGTTATATGTTAAAGTGTAGATAGTGAACTCAGTAATATAATAGTGAAAACTGTTTATAAAAAGTTTTGCTTATTTTGAAGATATAACGAAAACCATTTTAAAAATTATACACAACGGACGAGTTCTGTCATAGTACACTACGCCCGCTGCAGCGTACACTTGTGGTGAGTCATTTCTATTACGTCTGACGGCCTTTAGACACACGAGCGAAGCGGACATTTTTACATATAAACAAAGTGGACATACAATACTGCAGTACAATGACAAGAAAATGTACAAAATGCGACAAGATTATTTTTAATAGACAGTTTTTGAAATGTTCTCACTGTAAAAAATTGAATCATCTCACTTGCACGAATATCTCAGAGAAATTGTTTTATTTAATGAAACAGAAGGAAAGTCATAACTGGAACTGTGAAAATTGCAAAAATAAATGGGAAATTACAAATAACCCATCTACATCAGCTGAAATACAGGCTAATAATACATCGACACCACAAGTCTTTGCTACACGCCGGAGTAAAAATAATGCAAACATTACATCTGCAAACTCTTTTGCATCTCTCTGCTCTGAGGATTCAGATGATGATGATTTCTCTATTTCCAAAACACCGAATTTAAACAGAAGCTGTCCCGAAGCAGGTCTTATTATGAACGAGGTTTTGGATGACCTCAAAATAAAAATAGCTAACTTAGAAAATAAACTCCAAATAGCCGAAACAGAAATAGAAAATTTATTGTTGGAAAATAGCTCTCTAAAAAGACAAATTTTAAACTATGAAAAAAAGACGAATCAACTGACACACATATGTCGAACAACGCCGATAAGAAAAGGACGCAAGAGCCTAAATAAAAATAAATTTGATTTCACATGCTTAGACCAAACAAAAGATGAATTTGTTACTCAACCACATAATGAATCAGATGAAAATAAATCGTCCAGCCCAAAAAAGACACCGGAGAAGGTAAGAAATGTGGATAATACTACTGAATTGCCTGCACAGGAAAGAGAAGACTCCACGGACAATACAAATGAGACGAAAAAAAAGGTATTAATATTAAGTGATCAAAATGGTAAAGGTTTTCGCAGTTTACTCCAAAATATAATTGGTAAAGAATTCCAAGTGACATCTATAGTAAAACCAAATGCTTTTCTATCACAAATTTTAACATATTGTAATACTGTATGTAAAGATTTTACTAAATCTGACTATGTTATAATTATAGCGGGTTCAAACGACCGCAACCCACTTAGCTTCAGATCTATTCTGTATTACCACTTATCCTTACTATCAAACACAAATGTACGAGTTGGTGAAATATTAAACAACAGAATCTTAAATATTGGTAAATTAAATGATCAGTTGCGTTTCTTGTGTTCTCAATTTCATCACGCTAGATTCGTACCATTAAACTATGGTGACACAAAGCAACACTATAAGTTATATATGAGTAGACTGATGTTAAGAGAAATACTCAGTGTAGATTACAGAAATAGATTTGTTGATTATAACACCATCAAAACGCAATGTTTAAAACAACCTAACTCAAAAATAGTGCAAAAAGAAATTACACAATACTTCAAAAAAAATAATATCACAAAGACGAATAATGTTACTAATAATAACACAAATATAAGTAAAGTTCAACTAACTATTCCATATATTTTCAACAAAATAAAACTTAAACAAGCTAATGCTACTCTAGATCCTAACAAAACTATTGAAAGTAAAAAAAAAATTCAGACTTTTTTCGTAAATAAAGATGAAAACTCTTTTAATTTAATTCACTTAAATGTTCAAAGTATTAAATCAAAAACGGAACAATTGGAATTGCTAATGCTGGAGAAAAACATCGATGTATGTTGTTTTTGTGAAACTTTTTTAAAGAATTACGAAGTTGACATATTTCAAATTGACGGATATAAAAAAGTAGCTCATTTCTGTAGGAAACGTAAAAAGGGAGGCGGAGTTGCCATTTTTGTAAAAAAATCTATTGATTACCACGAACTTCAATGGATATCAGAAATGGCTATAGAAAATCATTTTGAATGTTGTGGTGTGTTCATAAGTGGATTAAACTATTTAATAATATCCGTTCATAAGTGGATTAAACTATTTAATAATATCCGTGTATAGAACCCCAAATAGTGACTTGGATGTTTTTTTGATTAATATGGAGTATTTACTAAGAAAAATAACCATACGAACACGAAATTGTTATAAAAATATATTTGTATTGGGTGATTTTAATGTAAATATATTAGAAAATCATAAACAAAGTAAATCGCTACTGAACATGTTTCAGGCCTATAAATTACATCCTACTATTTTGAAACCTACCAGAATAACTTCACACTCACAAACATGTATCGATAATATTATGACTAATATGAAACAATATAATGTTAGTTTATTAGATGTTGGGGTATCTGATCATACTTGTCAATTATTAAATCGATTCCCTCAAAAAAAAAAAGCTTTAAGAATAAGTTTTGGTATATGTTTATAAGAAACCCAGATATGTATATAGAGATTTTCTTAAAATATCTATCACAGATTAATTTCACAGATGTTTATGCACAATGTAATCCCAATGACGCGTATACAATATTTTTAGATCAGTTTAGTCTGATTTACGATCTTTGTGTGCCAAACAAAAAAATTAAAATAACATATAAAAAGAGAACAAAGTGGAAAACAAAAGGTATTACGATATCCAGTAGGAACAAAAGACAGTTATATTTACAGAAACGGTATACAAACTGCCATGCTGCGAAAAATAGATACAAAAGTTATTGTAAAATTATGAAGGCAGTTACTAAGCAATCAAAAAGAAATGCAAACATTAACTATATAAACCAAAGTAGTAATAAAAGCAAAGCTACGTGGCAAGTTATTAAACAAAATACTACAAAAACAAATAATTTTAATGAGACAATAGAAACTATTCAAAAAGATGACATTACAATTAATCAACCACATGACATAGCTAAATTAATGAATGACTATTATATCAAATCAAATAATCCTATCCAATATATTAGTGACATGACATTCAAACCATTGACTAATCCAAATTTAAATAGCATTTTTATGACCCCTGTAAATATTTCCGAAACTATTAACATTATAAATAATTTAAAGAACAAAAAAAGTAAAGGCTACGATAATATACCGATGAAAGCAATAAAAGCAAGTACACATTTAATAGCGGAACCTCTAACGTATATTATAAACTTGACCTTAGAAACAGGAATTTTTCCAAATGAGTTGAAAAAAACACTAATAAAGCCTTTATACAAAAAAGGTGCCAAAAATGACATGAACAATTATAGACCTATTGCTCTATTATCAAATTTTTCTAAAATATTCGAAAAAGTCATATCAAATAGGTTAACATCATTTTTAGACAAATATAAGATTTTAAATGTAAATCAATTTGGGTTTCAAAAAGGGAAGAACACGACATTGGCGATATTTAAAGTTTTGAAAGATATTTGGAAAAATGTAGATCAAAAAAGGAATTGTGTTGGTCTCTTTTTGGATCTGTCAAAGGCTTTTGAGTGTGTTGTTCATGATATATTGATAAAACAGCTTGAACATATAGGCATACGTGGAATAACCCTAAAATTAATGGAATCTTATCTAACTGACAGAATACAGGCGACAATATTAGATACATTTGACAAAAAAACAAAATCAATAACTCAAGTGCATTCCGATTTCAAAAAATTAAACCTAGGTGTACCGCAAGGTAGCATACTAGGCCCATTGATTTTTTTGATTTACATAAACGAGCTTCCATTAATAATCAATCACCTATGCGTAATGTATGCTGATGATGCTACAATATTCTTATCAAGAGATAAACTGGATGATGCAAATTTTGTGAATGAAATTTATAACACACTAAACACAGTAGTGAACTGGCTAACTTCAATTAATTTAAAAGTAAATTTGGGAAAAACAAAACTAATAGAATTTAGGAATTATAGAAAAGCTCCAATGGCATTAAATATTATGATCGACGGTGAAAAAATTGAGAAAGGGCACGACATGAGATTTTTGGGTGTCACCATAGATAGTAATTTGAACTGGAAATCTCATGTTGAGAAAGTAAACAGTAGGATTTCAAGCAGTTGTTACGCCATATCAATATTGAAAAATGTAGCATCTAGAGATGTAGCAAAAAATTATTACTATGGTCATGTCTATCCACTTTTGACATATGGAATTATATTCTGGGGCAATTCTGTTGACATTCAGTCCATATTTGTTTTGCAAAAAAAGTGCTTAAGGATTATGTATAATATTAATCAATATGACTCTTTAAGAAATGTATTTATAGATTGTAAATTTCTGACGTTGACTTGTATATACATACTTGAAATTTCTATGTTTGTCAAAGATAACCAACAACATTTTAATATTAAAAAAGAATCAAAAAAGAACTTACGAACTCAATATGCTTTTGATGTGTGCATTGTTAAATCATCTAGTTACATTTATAGAAAAAGTACTTTAATATGCGGAATCAGAATCTTCAACCATTTACCTATAAACATTAAATCATTAGAGAGCACAAGATTTAAAAAAAAGTTAAAAGAATGGTTATTATCAAAATGTTTTTATAATTTAGATGAATTTTTTGGAAGTAATTATTGATTTATTGTAGTGCTTTATTTTATTTTTTATTATATTGTACGTCCGAAATGGACAAACTGTTGTAACCATACTCTGTATTTGTAAGACCTCATGTACACAGTTATGATAATAAATGATTATCTTATCTTATCTTATCTTATATATCACGAATGGGTCGGCTCTACCGGGGAAGGAACATACTCTCACAGAATACCAGCGTAAAATAGCAGCTTAACACTGCTGTTTCGTATAGTGAGTGTACAGAACTGGGAAACCTTTTTACTGGAAAAGAGGCATTCCATCTTAGTCCTCACGGTTGATAACGCATAACGCATCTACATTTGGATTCGCAAACGAGGATAGATGTAGATGTCTATGGGCCACAGCAACCACTTACCATCAGGTGGACTGTGTGCTCGTTTGTCACCCTATCCTATAAAAAAATACTTAGCATTTTGGTTACCGAAGGTTATGATGAATTATTTCAGCATGTCGGGTCCTACAGCGGTTGTGTACACGTACCTCGGCGAATTTAACAACCTCCGTCACAGAGACAAGATGATCGCTTTTGGATCGTCCTTCGTGGGGATTGGTACAGTGGTGTTACCGGGTTAGTTGGTATTTTATTTAACAGTTTTTCGTTTTTAATTTTGAAATATTATTGTCTATGCACCAGATCACTTTTTAACCAACTAAATGTTATTGATAGCTGAGGAGCTAAGTGCTCGCTGTAAATTTCACAGTAGGTGAGCAACTCGGGTTCGAACTCAGGCGCCAAAGAAAGTGTTAATTGCAATTTTAAGTGCTGGTTTACCACGTGCTCGACGGTGAAGGAAACATCGTGAGGAACCTGCATGTCGAGAAATAAGAATAAAATATTTCGAAGACATGTGAAGTTCACCAACACGCATTGGGGCAGTGCGGCGGATACTTCCTTGCCTAATACCCTCTCAGAAATGAGAGAAGCCCTGTGCCCAACAGTGGGACGAACTATGACGACAGTAAGGGTTAGAAGATAATCTTATGCTGCCACTACACGGCATCAAATCAACGGACTGAGAATATAAATTCAAAACACAGGAATTGAAACTCTCTCATAAATAAAAGAGGGGTTGTACTCAAAATTAGTACCTATATAAACTGTAACTGTACCTTTTTCACTTTATTGGAATTGAAATGTTCACATATAACATTTAAGTAAGCTTGCTTCTTTAAGAGATGATATCTTAGCTAGGAGTCATGGTCGCTCATTAACTGAGGGCTAGTATAAAATTTTTTAGCAGCCAGGAAATCCTCCATCCACTGGTTCCAATGGATTAATCCCAGTTTTCCAATCGATCCCAGTACTAAACTGACTTACCATTTGTTCAGCTAAGAATATTTCTCATAAATTATAAAAGAAGATAATGCGCTATTCTAAAAATAAAAAAGCATTCGTGAGTATCGTGAAACTCTCAAAACTTGTTTTATTTTTGTTATTTTTGTTTTGTTACGCTAATTAAGTATAACTTCTCACATGCTTACATAAGTACACACACACGTTTTTTTTTTCAAAATGCAAATTAATGTATTTCAATTAAGCATGCACACTTACATAATAAAATTTTACAGAAATTTTTAATCTGCAGGAAAAAAATAACAGCAGTATACATTATTGTTACGGCTTACTTTACTATTAAATTTTTTTTGTTGACCCCGCACTAGACCAGGCCTGTCCTGTGGCGCTCTGATTTTCCAGTCTAATAAGCTTCTCTTACTTACTTTATTGCAGTTGTATCCTGGCTGATTCTCCCCCTAGAGTTCTCCCTGCCAATCGAGTTTCTGGGCATTACGTACCGATCTTGGAGGCTCCTGGTAGTGGCCTGCGCCGTACCTTACTTCATCAGCTCTATACTGCTAATATTCGCACCTGAGAGTCCCAAGTTTCTGTACTACGCTGGTTACCATGAAGAGTGCTTGAAAGTCTTAAGGAGTATCTACGCGACCAACAAGTGGATGCCTGCCGATAGCTTTCCAGTAAGTACTTGGAACATCTTCACTTTGCTTATTTATTCTTTATTGCCTTGCCTATTACAAAGGAATACAATGAGCGAACTTAATATCATGAGGCATTCTCTAACAGCCAAATCATGGTGGTTGAGAGTTTAACCTAGGTGTAGCAATATAGAGTAACATTAAAATAAGATAATTATAAACAATTGCACAAAATTGTATATTATTGAAGTTCTACTTTTAACAGTGGTAGAGCCACGCGGCAGCTTTTACTGTCGCACGGATGGGCCGGCTCGAACCGGGGTGGTACCACGACCTCACAGAATACCAGCGTGAAGTAGAGGTTTACCTCTGCGTTTCGCTTGGTGAGTGCAGGTGGCCGGAGGCCCTTTTTACTGGAAATGAGGCATTTCATCTTAGTCCTCACGGGTGGCAACGCATCTGCATTTTGATTCGCAAACGAGGATAGATGTAGATGTCTATGGGCCGCAGCAACCACTTACCATCAGGTGGACTGTGTGCTCGTTTGTCACCCTTATCCTATAAAACAAATACCAAACTTTTCCCAAACACCCCTTCTTTTGGGGTGTTTGGGGAAAATGATGAGAGTGATTTTTTTTACGATGCGCGCACACACTGATACCTAAAAGCGGCAACTTCAGTGAGTAATTGTCTCTCAAGTTTTCGTGGGAACTGATAACTATATATAAGATAGTTATTCAAATATATATGAATCTACAACACGTGTTTTATTTATATTATTGTAGAGTATGTAAGTAGGCTTATGAAAAAACTAAGATCTGACAGTTGTGTTGTCATTCAATGAAACTGTAACGACTTTGTCCCTATTCCACTTGTATCAGGTACTTAACAGTCAATTCCTTATTAATTAATCCCTTCCCGCTCGGAAAAGGCTCACAAAATATTTTATATCAAATACCAGATACAAGGGCTTCGCTCTCCTACATTTAAAAAAATGTGGGGGAGGCCCACGGCTTCACACACGCCGTGCGCGGTGAGCGCTCCCCCCGCAGGGAACGTTAAGTTGGGAACTGGACCGTAGTCCAAAGCAAAATAACTGGTGTACCAGTAAAAGAGGACTTGGTGGCCCTTTGATAGTGCGTAAGCACAAACATTGACCGAAGTCGCGCATGTCATTGCGTGTAAACGCCATACAGAATATGATCAAATCCAGCCACAGTGAATGTACGCCACACGGGTTAGGCAACAATAGGCACACTGGCCATAAAAAGCCCTCCGTGAGCGCCACCACCTGCCAGACCGCCGCTCCTGCAGACCTGATGTAAGTGCAAGACATAACCACCAATTGCATTATCAGCACAGCTAATTGGCCGCAGAACGTGTCATGAGTCTACCGCTCACCTCAAGGGAATGGGGTCCCACGTTGCGCGGCTTTCGGCCGCAGCCTTGAGAGCCTCCTCAGATTCTCCCTCCAGCTACCACCCGCATGAGGTTGACACATATGCTCCACTAACCAATACAATGTCAGATATAGCCAATAGGCAGTTATAAGATAATAGTAATAATTCGCCATCAGAAAGGGTTTGTGTCACTGACGTTGAGTATATGCATTTTTCTATCATGTTTGTCTCACCTACCAACAAGTTGCCGTCAATCTTTCAAACGTGGAAACTTTATAGAGATATATTATTATGTTGTTATATAAAATATCATCGAGGTCAGACAGTCTGCAGCCCCGCAATGAAGGGGCCCGACTTGGACAAAGCTACTTAGGTTGTGAGTCAAACCAAGAAGATGGGAACGCCATTGAGAATAGCGACCCGCCAAACAATCATCACAGAGATTCAATGCTGCAAAATGCAACAAGCATCAATACGACTATCGTGGGCTTACACCATCCCAAGGTCCCCCATACAGTCCCAGCAGACATCACCACCCGCATACCTCCATCGACCAGAACCACAAGATCCGTCGAATCAGGTGCAGCACACCCGCAGATCCATCACAAGACGCAATACTGCAAGTAGCAGTAAGCATCAATGCAACTATCATACGGATGGCGCCCCCTCACAACACACCCACATGATCCCTATGAACTTTGGTAACAAAATTGATAATGTTGTTAACTAAAAATACCACCAACGTATCATAGTAGCACGGTACTAAGACGTCAGTAGCCAATACTCCACGTATCATAGCGCTATTGCACTAAGACATGAAGTTGAGTATACACTTGCTGCACTTAAAAGTACTACCAAACACACACACCCTAATCCGAAAGATAGCCGACGTATCATAACACTATGCGCTAAGAGGCCGCCCACAAACGGTAGGGGTGTGCAATGTCCACGGGCAAGTCGTATTGCTACAACAAACCCGCTTACCACCGGCACTAAGATGATATGTCTAGGACACATCGTTTAGCGAGTCCAAGTTTAACTCGGTCTCGGACGCTGTGAAGCAATCTACACTCCACTATAATAATCCCTTTCAAGAGCCATTTCTTTAAATATAATGCTTTTACATATTTGAGACCTTCCACATATTTGCTTTATTTCATAGACCATACTATTATAAGTCTTATACATATGGGACTTCAAGTCATAACTCTGCTATCATAATGCTTATGCATCATAGATGCCTTCTATATTAATGCTTTTGTATCATAGACCTTACTATCATAAGTCCCTAATATAGGACTAGTCATTGTGCTAACTACAGGTAGTAGTCGATCAGCCGTCCACCCCATATATATGTACAACCTTGGGTATGTGTCTCCGGCAACGCCCCTCTTATAAGGGTACATTACATGAACACCCTCATTAACTTAGAAATTTTCCGATTAATACAAGAAAAGCTTCCTTAACAAATTTTTGATCCATTTTTTTAATTATATTACAAATGTTATTTATCTATATAATCGACTTGTACTTATATTATTTAATACATTTTGAATATTTTAAACATAATGTTAATAAATTTAGAGATTTTTAAAGACAATTTTATGCGTTTACTATACTATAATAGTCAATATTCCAAATGAATATGTGTTACGGCCTACGGCTGCTCCCTTAAAGGGTCAAATTCTCAGGGGCCCATGAGCTGAAGACTTCCCGAGCAGACGTAGGTCGGGCCTCAATTTGGCCACGTGGAATCTCTCTAATTACACTAAAATATATGGGGGAGCGTTCTATACTACGGCCAGTTAACCGGCAGAGGAATTAGGCGAAGCTTACTTACCTATATCCAAGGCGACTGGTCCCTCCGGAGTCGGTCAGGGCACATGTGGTTGTGTAGTGAAAGGGAAAGAAGGTGATGTGATGTGTATCTGGGTGTGACTGCGGGTGATTGAACCTAGACCTTGGCCGTCGGCAGCAGCCCGAGCGTCGACACCGCTCCAACTTGAGGGGGCCTTCCGAGGCGTTGTCCAAAATGCTGCACCGCTTCAGACTGCTTCGGCGCCGGACCACAGTCACTTTCCTCGTTCGTCACGATGACAGTCAATTAACTCTATCGTACGATTAACTAACTTACAGAAGCCACTAACTATCGCTGGGTATAATGTTAACGCACAAAACGCACACGGAGTTTCTGGATCAAAGGTCACTACCGTTTCGCGTTGCAACAGTTAGTTCTAGAATATCAGAGGCCGCACTAGCTAATATTGTCGAATGCACTTATACAGATCCTGAGTCGGACCCAATAAGTCCCGGGAAAGGCTATCCAAACAGGGAATGCGCGTTATAAATCCTAGACGGGATATTTACTAGACGCCCTAACTATTCCGCGATTCCCGCACAAAAATGACAGCGTGAACAGCACGCAGACACAGCAACAAGCACAGCCGGCAGACGACTGCCTGCTCTTGTGCGTTTTTCGCACGACCGAAAGTCAAACCGGTATGAATGCACCGCGCGGAGCACCCTCTCGCGTCAATCCTTGAAACTAGCGCTTGACGCGAACAATATGTTTGAACCAAAGAGATTTAAATATATAGGATTTGAACTTTATGCTTATTATTACATTGTAATTCTTTAAAATATAATTTCTATCGCATTTTTAAATGTCTATTATTATTATTTATTAATAATAATTATGAGGCGTCACAAAACTTATAAATTTCATTTGTGTTTTAGTGGTGAAATCCCCATAAAAACACAATATTTGGCGACGAGAACCTTATTCACGCAATAAAGTTAAATAGTTACAAATAAATAACAACCTCACATTTGATCACCACATGCAATAGTGGAATATTTTTAAGAGTCGATTTGTCCAGTTCTGTTTAGCAAACGATTATCATGTCGACACAGACAAAGCACGACTTATGAGAAGAGCGTTTTTGCTCACATCATTAGCAGAAGATATAATATATCGTCTTGTAGGCTATTTAATATTTCCGTTAAAACTAGAAGAGTTAGCTTATAAGACTCTTATTGAAAAGATTGACAACCAGTTTTCCTCAAAGAAATGTATGTTTGCGGAAAGATATGATTTTATACAGCGAAACAAAGACCAGGCGAAGACTTACCTGAATGGGCGGCCCGAGTTCGACCATGGGTACTGTAAAGTAGTCAAAACGTTGGGAATTTAAAATAAGTTGTTAATAGACGCATTAATATCCGTAAAAATTACGATTCTAAATAATTATATTCAAAGATATGACCGTCTTAAATAACTAACATTACAGATTACAAATCTAGTGATGGAAGCACAGCCATCAAAACAAGAGGAAACAAAAGGCAAGCCCACGATTTTAGAATCAATGAGGGATCAGACCGTGCCGTTGTTCCGACCGCCACTTTTGCCTTGGACTGTACTTAATTGTTTCGTCCAATTCGGATTATTTGCCACGTAAGTTTTTGATAAAAGTTATTGTTTAAGAATATTAGTTATATTTGTCATCATCATCCAACCGTGGGCCTCATCCATGAATTAACTATTCATCACGGCATAATATAGGGTAATTAATACCAGCCTATACCGGTCGCCAGAGCTTAGCCCTTCTGACAGCAGACTACATACACCCACTACAGGTGAGATTGATATATTTATATAAGGGAATAGATCATTCACAGAAGACATATACGTGGTAGAGACACGCTGCATCTATGGGAAGGAACCACATTATCACAGAATTAAAAAGTAAAATAACGTGCATAGGCTACGGCTTGAATTCCACCTACGCTGACGTCGGTCGCGCGTAGTAATGTACATTGTGTTCTATATAGGCCCACACTACGACGCTGACCGCACGCGTCGATCTCGCTCGTCAGCGCCGCGTACGTCAGTCGACGGACGAGCGTGGAATAGTGCGAGAACCCTCACTCTATTACCGACGATCCACGCGTGCACGTACAGTTGCAATGAATATCGATATAGAACGTCTTATTTACCTAATGATTTGTACAAAAATGGGAGAGCAAAATACTGGGTAGAAGTTTTTGAGGCTTTATTTCCGGATAACAATAATGAGGACGATAGTAAAAAAAGGAAATCGTTAAGTAAAAGACAATGTTAACAATCATAATTATTAACATTGTATTTTACTGACCGATCTCCTTTCCGAAATCAACTTAGTAGACGACTGTACCGTAATAGAGCTCAGTATCGCACTATGGTATTTTATTTCTCGCACCGTATCGGATTGTACGCGACCGACCGTACGCAATCAACGTCAGCGTAGGAGGAATTCAGGCCGTCGTACCGCTGGGAATAGGCCTCCTATAATTTCTGAAAGGCGTAGTAGATCAGCGGCTAAGCGCTCGCTATACTTTTCTCACATAATACCAGCGTTAAATAGTAATTATCAAAAAATAAAGCTGTTGCGTTTCAAATGGTAAGGGTAAAGAACTGGAGACCCTTATTACTGGTTACGAGGTATTCGACCTTAGTATTCAGGAGTGACAACATATCCACATTTGATTTCTTGGTTGAGGATGGATGCATTTCTGGGTGTCACGGCATTGACATGCCATCAGGCATGCTGTATAAATTAAAGATAAATAAAATATTTGAGGTTATGTGAAGACCAATCCGCACCGGAACTGTATTTCGGTTTCACCCCGACTGTCTACTAACTGATTTGACTGCCTCCTTGTTCTTGTAGTTGTAAAAGCGACTGCTAGTCATGATCGAATTCCAGATCGGGCCAAAAATCAGTTATTGAGTTTGTCTGTCACGAAATTCTCGTTAGAAGCCCAGAGTCAGGAAGGCGGTGTTTCAACGCCGTGACTCGGAAAGCACGTTAAAGCCGTTATTCATGTCCGGTCGTACTAGTTTACCGTCCTATCGAAGTATAAGAGTGAGTGAATATAGGATGCACCTGTGCTGGTGACACTTGGGAACTATAATCCTATCCTGCGTAGATGAATATACTCTGTTAAGACTGGCAGTCGTGACCAAAATTCGGCCTGGAAGAATTTATCTAGTAACTTAAAAAAACAAGAAAATTTTTTCTATCCGATCGGAATCATAGACTGCATGGAATAGAGAGACACTTATTACTGGAAATGAGGCATTCCACCTTAGCCTTCAAAGACGATAGCTAATCTACATTTTGATTCTTAATTGAAGATAAATGTACGTATCTATAGCTGTCTATGGGCGGACTGTGTGCTCGTTTGTCACCGTAATTCTATAAAAAATAAATAAAAAGACCAACAATTTTTAATGTACAGCTCCTTTTTTGTGATATAGACATTTATTTTTTATTATTAAATTACTAATTACAAAAACCGATCGGTTTCGTCTCACGGCATCATCAGGATATATGAACAAGAACATGTGTTTATCCAAATCACAAAAATGAATCTGGAGCTTCGCCAAGTGACAACAATCGGAATTAAAAATTATTTAAAGTATTTTTTCATTTGTGGTAGAGCCATGCTGCAGCTATATAAATAGTATAGTTGTAGCACGAATGGTTTGGCTCAACCGAGGAAGGACCACGCTCTCACAGAATACCAACGTAAAATAGCAGCTTGATGCTGCTGTGTTCCGTATGGTGATTGTAGAGAACCGGAGGCACTTTTCACTGGAAAAGAGGCATTCCATCATAGTCCTCACGAGTGACAACGCATCTGCATTTTGATTCTTTATTGAGGATAGATTAGATGTCTATGGGTCACAGGTTCCACTTACCATCAGGTGGACTGTGTGCACATTTGCACCCTATTTTATAAAAAATATGTACAAATCGAAATTATTTTAAATATCGTTGTTACTTATTGTTAAAATTACAGCACCAATGGCTTCTACGTGTGGGTCCCAACTATACTAAACTCCATGGCCAACCACGGAGAAACTGATATGAGTATATGTGACATATTGGATGCCACCAAAGTGACTGCGGACAACGAGACAGCGGTAAGCGATGCGATAACAATAATATAATTAATGGCCATATACTCAAACGTCACTCAATTTTAAGAAGTCGTTAAGTCTCGTGGTGTCTCAGTCACTTTGACTTAAAGTGATAGAGACAGCACGAGACTTAATGGCATCTTAAAATTAAGCAGCGTTTGAGTGGGCTATAAGACTCCCACTAGCGATCTTTCCTGACCGATACGACTTAAGGACCTTCAATAAAAGAGCCCTTGAAAATAATTCTAACTTTTTTTATAGAGGATACGGTGACAAATGAGCACACAGTCCACCTGATGGTAAGTGGTTGCTGTGGCCCATAGACATCTACATCTATCCTCGTTTGCGAATCAAAATGCAGATGCGCTGTCATCCCTGAGGACTAAGATGGAATGCCTCGTTTTCAGTAAAAAGGGCCTTCGGTTCTCTACAGTCACCATACGGAACACAGCAATGTTAAGATGCTAAGTTATACAGCATACGTGATGGCATGTCAATGCCGAGCACTTTTTTAAAATACCGGCAACGCATCTGCAAATCCCCTGGGGTTACAGTTGTGTCACTTACCATCTAACACATCATATAAAAAAAAATAACTTTAAAAAAGTAAAAGCAGACTTCAAAGAACTAAAAAGAATAAAAAAATCACATTCTAAGGCCGGGTCTTTAAATTTTCTTTCGCTATATCTTTCTCTTTTGGGTGAACTAATGAATGTCACATTCTCATTGTCACCTAAATGCGGCATGCGAGATGCTCCTCACCTAATGGTAAGTGACTACCACCGCCCATGAATAACTGCAACACCAGGGGAATTGCAAATGTGTTGCTGGCTTTGTAAAAAGAGTACGCTTTTTCCTTGAAGGTCCCTGATGCGTATCGGTCCGAAAAAATCGCTGGTGGTAGTCGATTCCACAAGAAAGATAAGCGATTAATAAACTTCTTGTAAATTGTACAGTGGGGAATCAACAATCAACCAGGTGGTATCACGAATTACATTAAAACTTTTTCCACCCTTAAGGATGAAATTTCTTCTCCCAATTTGGGATCACCTCTGAACTTTAGCCTACTTATTAAAAAATTCAAAATCGGTTCACAATTGACGAAGAAATCGTTGAATATACATAAAAATTACATAAAGTCGAACTTTGAACGTCCTCTTTTTATGATGTTGGCTAGAAATTACGTCGCGGTCAGCAATATTAAGCCGGCTATACATGTTGGCCATATCTCGACGAGCGAAGGCGAATACCAACGAATAGACACCCCTATATTCAGATAATCAGATATTTATTGCCTTTAAGGAAAAATAAACATGTAATATTTTACCGTGTATTGGCGGTGTAAAAATATCGACTACTCCATATCATCCCGCGGGTCTCATAAGAGGCGACAGAATTTAAGCCTGCTTTCTAATAACAGACAGCCTCGCAATATGGTCGTTTGTTGGAGGGTAGGCGGGCGTTGCGCGGCGGTTTGTTTTTAACTTGTGGCGGCGCTGTCGTCGCGCCTCAAGCGAAACACATCGAAGCCTAAATCGCGCTATCAAAGTTCCGAAGTTAAAGCAGCATATATAGAATAGCTCCGAACTACCAATCGGAGCGTTGGCCGCTCCCCGGGCAGAACACCTTGCCCGGCGGGAGATCTCCCCTTTTCCTTCCACCCGCTACAGTGGTGACCAACCGACGTGATATGAACACGCAACCAACAATCTTCGGAAACTACAATTTCAAAAAAAAAATCTTCGTCATCATCCTCAAGTACCCCATTCATTCGCTCCCGAGCAGATATTGTCTGCAGTCTTCACATTCTGCAAGCCATCTAGCTTTAGAAAGGTTCATCGCAGCACTGGAATAATAATGCTTCCTGTTCCTTCAAGCTACTCTCTGCGCTACAGTGTTCGGCACGGCTCTGAGCCTTACTGCTCGCCTCTGCTTCACGGCACTCTCGCAGATTACTTGCCTTCTTCTCGACTCACCACAGACTACAAGGCAATCCCTGGCACTTGCTCCGGCTCATCGTTCTCACCGGCATCACTTGCAAGTGCGTAGTACGGCATGCATTACACACCGGCATATCATTCGCACCGGCGTCACTTGCCCTTACGCACACAGCATGCATTCCCCACCGGCATTTAAGGACGCACCGGCAATCGGACTGCACTATCGACCTCCGGTCTGAGCAGGGGGGTGATGTGGCGGCGCTGTCGTCGCGCCTCAAGCGAAACACATCGAAGCCTAAATCGCGCTATCAAAGTTCCGAAATTAAAGCAGCATATATAGAATAGCTCCGAACTACCAATCGGAGCGTTGGCCGCTCCCCGGGCAGAACACCTTGCCCGGCGGGAGATCTCCCCTTTTCCTTCCACCCGCCACAAACTTTACAAACGGATGCGTAAGTCCGGCGGTGATTGGTCGCATGTTTTATCGCATGACACAGTCGCTCGCTCCTTAAGTAGGGAACGGTTGCATCAGCGGTCTGCATAAATAGCAGTTGTTTTGGCCCGCCGCTCACTTAGCGGTCAGCCACCGTAGAGTCTACATCACCTGAAGATGCCTCGTGTAGAGGCGAAACACGTATCGTATTGTCGTCAATGGTGTGTCTTTCCTAGTGTGGTGTTGGGATTAGTGGTGACGGGGATAGTGCACGCAATTGAGGGAGGGCGGGAGGTGCTCTTCAAACTAGGTAAGACACATCATTTTATTTTGTAATTGTTTACTAACTTAATGGATTTCCGCAAAGTAACGCCTGATTCTATTAATTGTCTACATATAACAACAAAGAAGGTATGCTTACAATTTCTGAAATGGCAACGATATTTATGTATCCAATTCCTATATTGTTTCAAGATCGTGTGCAACGATACTATAAACACAGCCACCTTCGAGCAGTCCATCTACATCGGCCTCGTGTTCTGCTCGATGTACATAATCGTGGGATTCCTGGTGGACTTTGTGGGCAAGAAGACGATCCTCGTGTGTGTGCTTATCGCAACGGGACTGTGCGGGGTGGGCGCGCACCTGGCGCCTGCGGTGAGACCAGCGGTCGTGCTCTTCGCGATATTCCAAATGTCGGGAGCCTGCATCGGCCTTATGAACGCGGTCAGTGTCGAACTCATCCCGACCATGTACCGGTGAGTGGCAGATTCTTTTTCTTCATTTTGAATCAAAACTTTTCTCCTGTATCGTGTAACAGTTTACATACATAAATTTCACAAGGACAGACATCCTTTTTACCACGCTAAAGCTATTTTATGGTTGTAGCACAAATTGGTCGGCTCGACCGGGGAAGGACCACGCTCTCACAGAATAATAGCATCAAATAGCAGCTTAATGTTGATGTGTTTCGTATGGTGATTTTAGAGAACCGGATACCCTTTTTACTGAAAATGAGCATTCCAGTCCTCAGAGATGACAGCCCATCTGCATTTTCATTTTTAATTAAGAATAAAACAATTAAGAATAAATGTAGATTTCTATGCGCCACAGCATCCACTTACCATCATGTGGACTGTGTGCTCGTTTGTCACCCTTATTCTATAAAAAATTAAAATGACCCGGAACTATTATTTGTGGGTCATACAAATACTTGTTCAGTACGGGATTCGAACCTGCAGACATTAGCGCTGCAACTCATTGCTAAGCCACTGCATCACGGAGCGGTCAATAAATCACATTGTGTGAAATGCAAAAAAAAACTTAAAAAACTTTTGCAAGTATTTTAAGACACGAATAGTATAGTTGTAGTACGAGTGGCTCAGCTTGACCGGGGAAAAACCACCCTCTCACAGAATACCAGTGTAAAATAGCAGCTTAATGCTGTTGTGTTTCGTATGGTAAGTGTAGAGAACCGAAGACCCTTTTAACTGGAAAAGAGGCATTTTATCTTAGTCCTTACGGCTGACAACGCATCTACATTTTGATTCGCAAACGAGGATAGATGTAGATGTCTATGGGCCACAGCAACCACTTACCATCAAGTGGAATCTGCGCTCGCTTGTTACCCGTATCATATACACTTATCAAGATTTTTTTCTTACAGAGCAATGGCCATTTGCTTGGGCATGATGATGGGCCGCATGGGCTCCATGGTGGGTTCAAATCTAGTCGGCTACTTCCTTGAGACCAATTGCGGCGTTAGCTTTTATCTCTTCGGAGGGCTTACAATCGGTAAATATTATTTTTTATGCAGTGAGGGCATCCACGACTTTTTCTGCCACCAGGGCGGTGCTACTAGAAAGTGAGGTTTATTGTTTGACAGATTTCATAGCGGGGAAGTTAATTTGTTCGGAAAATTTAAAAGTTATTGTCTCTTTCTGTACCATTAGCTATATTTTATGTTAATTAGATTAAAAATAAATAAACCAAACCACAGATATTCATAAAAGTAGAAAAATTAAAAAAAAAGTTAAATATGTCCAAAAAATTAAAGAGTTTGCTCCACTGACGGATTGTTTTGTATATTAATATAATACTCTAGAAACTGATAAACTTTTATTAAAAACCAACTTCTCCATCAAATTACATTGTGTAACAAAACAAATTTACCTCAGTGACTAGTAGCGACATCTGTTGAGCAGAAATATATTAGCCCTCATTATGTAAGTGCATACACGTCGAAGTTACTACTACTACAGGTTCTTGTTTTTTAAAAAACTTTATTTTTATATCTCTAAGGATATATTAAGAGAAGCCGAACCCCTTCACACATTTCGGTGCCAGAAAAATCAAATGGCACCTATTAAAATAGCAACTTTCCTTAAAATAGCAGCTTAATACTGCTGTGTTTCGTATGGCGAGTGTAGAGAACCGGAGACCATTTTTACTGGAAAAGAGGCATTCTATCTTAGTCTTCACGGCTGACAACGCATCTGCATTTTAATTCACAAACGAAGATAGATGTAGATGTCTATGAGCCACAGCAACCACTTACCATCAGGTGGACTGTGTGCTCGTTTGTCACCCTTATTCTATAAAAAAAAAATATTATACATGGCAGTATAACCATCACGCTTACCGGTGACGGACAGTAGTATCTCTGTCTGTATACTTAATCTACGTACGTACGTACGTACGTACGTAAAATATATCGATCGTCAACTCTTGCAAAGCTTGATGCGACTAAGGCAAATACGAAGAAGTATGCCCATTTCGACAATTATATTACGAGATTCTTTTTAATATATAGCTCGTATTCACGTTACCGTTAGAAACATAACCAACCTAGGTATCAATGATAGATTGAAGTTTACGGCTTGAACTTTTTGTACGATGCCATCCTATGTGAAATGTGGGCCATGATTGTCTGGTTACTGAACAGTTATGTCATATCACATCGACAGCCTTTAAAATAATGCACCAATTGGCGTACATTTGACTCAGAAGACTTCACTCACACGTACCACGCTGGTCAAGTCGGCTGGTGAGAATTTAGTGAATACCTTTTTGGATAAGAAACGAAGGGGAGATCTCCCGCAAGGTATTCATCACAGAGTACTTTTATATATACTGAAAGTATTCATCCCGGGGAGTGGCCAACGCCCCTTATGGTAGTTCCGAGCTCTTCTACATATATATACAACAGTGCATTCGGAGCTTCAATAGCGCGATTTAGGCTTCGGTGAGTTTCGTTTGAGGCGCGACGACATCGCTGCCATACTTTTGCATTAGACTACTACTACTCTTGCTCACCACCAGTCTATGAACTAAGTGTTAGGACTCCTCTTCTGCCAGGCGTCCGTCTGGCTAAGTATCATCTTCTTAACTATTTCTGTCACTAAAGAGCAGTGTGTCCACTCCTGTAACTTTCTCTTTCTATAACTTTCCCCAGGCATTTCATTTTAGTCCTCAGAAGTGATAACGCTTCTTCTTTATTTGGCTGAAGGTGTTTATAAACTGCTGTAGCTACTTACCATCAGGTGGACTATAACTTCATTTATCACTTCAATTTTAAGAAAAAAGACTCTCTTGACAATCTAATATGTTATGTATTTGTGATCGAGGACCTTACTGATAGGTACGGAATACGAAGTGAATCATAGCACTATTGTATAATTAAAAATGCTAACAAAATTATTTTATTTTATTTCACAGTCTGCGGTGTTCTTTGCTTAACTCTGCCAAATAAAAAGAAGGTGTCAGCCGAAAAACAAACAGTGGAGCCGGTTCAAAATGAAACCCACGAACCGGTTTGAATCTGTTCCAATCGGTCTCAGGAAACCGTTTCTGTAAAATAATACTCGGATTTAAGACACCACTAAGAAGCTTTAAGAAGTTTATAAAGGATTTTTGAAATTTTTGAAATGAGACAATTGAATAAATATATTTTTCTGAATTTATTTTACGGCATGGCTCTAAAGTATATTATGTAGTTAAATTTTTATTTTTGTTTTAAGATCACTATATCATTTAACTAGCTGATACCCGCTCGCTTCGCTGGGCGCACGATAATAGACGATACCTAACTAGTAACGTAGATATAAAATATCAAGAATTTTTTATGCGTTTATTGTAAAATCCGTTCTTAGTGAGGATCATAGACTTAGAATACACTGACGTATAGACCAACATAGTGTGCAAGGGAGAAGAAAAATTCTTATGGCAAAAATGCAAGATAGAAAAGGATACTAAATCTCATGACTCTGTAACCAATTTTTAATGACAGATTGGTACAAGTCGGCACGCAAGAAATAGCTCCTAGATATTTTATTTATATTTTTTTATATTTTTATTTTGAGCATAGAATTATTACGCATAGAATACTAGTACGCGCACAGAAATTGAAGCAAGTTAAACTAACGCGAAACCGCGTAAGTTCACTTAGCGACGCGTCAATGCGCAACGTTATGTTTTACGGAGAAGAGCTCGCGAAAAATTGTAAAAATGACCGTTTTTGTTGTAAAATATTGTCACAACAGTGATGGTAAACATAAAAGAAGTGATGGTACTGCATTTTACATACAAGTATATATATTTAATTCGTTATAAGTACGTAAACCTAAAAAAAAATACTTACCTAAAGTATAATAATACAAATGTTGCTACTTGTGGGGCAAAAATCACAATTTTCTTTTAAAAATATTTATTTTCTATTTGTGTTTAAAACGTTTAATCGCAACGCTCTGTGTAAAACTCAAATGTTTATATATAGACACCTACTTCTCTAAGTATTAACATAATATTAACAATGGGTGCCTATTTAAAACTAATACGGAGTTATCAGCTAATCACGATTCGCCCACACCATTTTAACGCAACTACGAGTATTTTATTTTAATTGCTTTGTTTATTGACTATGTCTACGTTTTAAAGTATAGAATAAAAGCTTTTCTATTTACAACGTCAAGATAATAAGAACGCCTTTACTAACCAGATGTCACTTTAAACCCAAACATTAAGCAGATGTTATTTTAGACTCAAACATAGTCTATTTTAAACGACTCCCAAAAAGGAGAGGTTATCAATATGTATGTACACTGATTTCTAAGACAATTTTAGATTTACTAGTTTATGTCGTATCACTACGCTTGAGAGTTCATGTTCTGAACATTTATTAGTGGCCCTTCACTGTGTAGGCAGCGCGCGGTAGCATATCATAGCGGTAGGTAATACTACGTAACATATAGCGAATTTTTTTTCAGACTTTATCATAGTAATACGGTATAAGCTAGTCTGTACGCCCGACCTACTTGGGAGATATTGCTATTGGTTAGAGATCACATTCGAGTTTTGTTTTTCTCGAGTGTAAATCTGCCACTTTTGCATCCTAATAATTATTATTTTAATAAAATAAGTACTACCAAGACAAAATAATTTGACTTCGGGAAAACAACCATTAAAAGAGCAATGGCAGAAAAATAGTTGACAAAAATTATAGCGTCTAGAAATAAGTTATATATAAAATGAGTTTTATTATTTTAAATGTATTTCAATTAAAGCCACAGAAAAAAAGAAACATTTTTAGGAATATCAAATGACTTAAATCATTTTACTCTATTCAAATGTTGCCACTTAGTATATTCATACTATTTTCGTATACACTTTGTAAGACTACCAACATATTTTTATATAAACACACAAAATATTTTTATATTAAGTTATTATTAGTAATAACTGTACTATCAGTAATAATAAAAATAAAAGTGATATGGCTAAGAATAAGTCTCTTACAAAGAATTTCCTACAATAATACATTATCTCAATCAAAGTACCATGTAACAATTCCATTTAATGTTATGCCAACACTAGCTAAAATAAAATGTCACTGTTTTTTTACTGGCTTAACGGCTCTGGGTTCTAGCCCTTCTGAGAATGTCACTATGATACAAAAGCCCTGGAGTCATGCCAGAAATATACATTTATATAATGCAAATATATAATAGAGATACAATAATCTAAAAACTCTCAATTATGTATTATGTATTAAGCTAACATCAAACAACCACAGGAAGCATGACTTTTTCCAAGTGACATAGGACATAACCTAAAAAGGTTCAAATCTTTTTTTTGACGCCTTCTCAGGACAAAATTCTTTGACAGAGTTATTAAGGGCCTGACGTTTAACATTTTAAGATATTTTTGGTATATAGACGCTACCATTTCTTCTAAACTAATTTTATGTATGAAAGTCTGCCATTGTTCTTTCAGCGTGTATATTGGATCAATCTGTGTGTATATCCTTACAAATAAAAAAAACTAAATCGGTTTAGAAATTGTAGAATTCTGATGTAATAAGCATTTTAAAAAATACACCGAATTGAAAACCTCCTCCTTTTTTGAAGTCGATTAAAACTAAATATTACACGATGTGCTAATTGTATTCGAGCAAATAAATTATGTTTAATAATATTCTTAAATTTTATTACGTCTGTATTTTTGTACCATTAAAATATGTATAATTAAGTTATATTAGTATCATTATTATCGTGTTTATTTTATTCCATTTTATATTCTCATAAAATATATCTTCGTACGTAATACGTAATCTTTATTATATCGATAATTTAAAATTAATCAATAAAATAGTAATTTGCACAATTTGATTGCAAACGCCAGAAACTGGTATCACGGAAAGGCGTGTATGTGTGCTTGTGACGAGCGTAGGCACATTGGACTCGCGCCCATTAACATAATGACCTTGCATCATTGTAACGCTCGTGTTTTGTACCAGACTGCGTTTCTATGCGTAATAATTCTATGATTTTGAGTTAGTAACTTTTCTCCAAAATGGTTACTTCTTCTGTGAATTACTGTGGTATTAATAACAGAAATAATCCTGGTAATTGCACATTTCACGGGTAAATAATTCTCAAGACGTCGTCAATGTTATGAAGCGTTTATTTTTGGTTAAAATTTATGTTATATGCTGTTTAAAATATAGAATGTTTTCAATTATTTTGTTAATTTTAATATTTTGCAAAGAAGAAAGTCACGTTGTTGATAATTTTCATGAGTTTGGTAAATACATTTTTATACAAAATATTTTACATGTAAGCTAAGGATTGACTCAACTATAAGAAAATTAATGTCGATATTTATCTTGAATGTTTATAATGAATCGATAGACTTGCCCACAACAAGAAAATAAATCCTCGGTTTGCGTTCTAAAATGTAATTTTATTTTTCCGTTAGTCAAACAGTTTCGCTCCGGATTCTATAATTATAAAAATGGTTAAGGTTAATTGAACTGACTATACGGTAGTATATTCTACGTCTATGGTGAGCACCTGCATTGTAAAATGAGTAACTATACTAAATTTCAAGTCAATCGGGTGTATGTATAGTTTTAAAGATATCGTAATGAGTCAGTCAGTCAGTCTGTCTGTCAGCGGTATTTCGCTTCTATATATATATATATATATATATATATATATATATATATATATATATATATATATATATATATATATAAAGGTATATATTAGATTTCACACTATTAAAATATATTTTTTTTAAATGGGTGCGTTAGTAAATTGTAAAAGGTCACTATCCGCTTACTGTGAACTTTGATCCCAAAAAAGAGTACTTATGTACTTAGTGTATATGTATGTATGTATATATGTCATTTACTGTTATATTATCCCCATAATTCCTAAACTGTACTTTATAGTATACTTTAAAGCTCAGAGTAAATTACTCTAAGGTTTAAAGTTTAAAACTGTGGGATTTTGACAAATGATATTTCGATCGGTTTGCTTTTGCCGGTAGTACTACTACAGACTTTTAATAAGACGTCATCGTAAATAAATATGGCGGACAATAAACTGTCAAAATATTATGGATATGTAGTATAGGTACATTATGGTATGATATATGAAAAAAGCCTGATAGCTCGCCGGTATTCTGGACCGAGTTTTTAATCAGTAAAAAAAAATATCGTTAGAAAACCGTTTGTCTGAGGAATAAATATTTCGATATACAATCATATGCAAAGTCCGCCAAAATGCACTGGAGCAGCGCGGCGGACTATTCGCTCCATAACCCTCTCAGAAATGAGAAAGAATGGTCTGTGTGTGGGACGTATACAGCTGTAACTCTACTTTTTCACGTGAAATGTAAATATAATATTACATTTGTATAAAATTAACTCTGGTATTAATGAATACATTAGAAATATAATTTGTAAACAAAATATAATATCTTGTTTGTTTTTGCATAATTTCCTTATTTTGTATAAGTATTATTGATATAAGATACTATTTAATGTATAAGAGACCTAGATATATTAAAGATCTAACAATAAAATAATGTGCCTGATTTTGTTGTGTTTCATTTTAGTGATTAAAACGTAAAACTTTAAAAACCTAAACAGTCGATGCTGCATTATTTATTGACATCTCCAACGTATATCATTGTAACCAACAAATTACCAATTTTCGCTTTTTATCAATTTAGTACGTAATACTATATAGACATGAACACGCACTGATGAGCTTACTTGTCCTCAATTTTAACGTAATATTTTTTATTACTAGAAAATAGATTTCTTATTCAATATGGATAAAATAATACTACAGATAGAATAATAATAATACTACTTATCGACTTACTTACATTCTTACTTACTTACCTACATAAATAATAATAAGTGAAAATGTAATTTAAAATAAAATTAAAAAAGCTTTGAAAAAACCATGAATAAATATATATAATGTGTCTATAATTAATAGAATCAGGCGTTACTTTGCGGAAGTCCATAATATTAAAGTTGACAAAAAATACTTTGCGTACATCCGCTCGATAAAATAAAATTATGTGTCTTACCTAGTTTGAAGAGCACCTCCCGCCCTTCCTCAATTGCGTTCACTATCCCCGTCACCACTAATTCCAGCACCACTACTCCCAACATCACTACACTAGGAAAGACACACCACTGACGACAATGCGACACGTGTTTCGCCTCTACAAGAGGCATCCTCAGGTGATATAGACTCTACGGTGGCTAACCGCTAAGTGAGCGGCGAGCCAAAACAACTGCTATTTATACAGCGGTTGCGTCAGCGGTCTGTATAAATAGCAGTTGTTTTGGCTTACCGCTCACCTAGCGGTTAGACAGGTTGTCAACTTTAAATAATGTGTCTATGTCTATTTGCTTATATTGCAAACTTTTTTGTGAAGTGGGTGGGATATTTTAATAACGCAAACCTAAAACTCTTAAAACCTAAACCTTGAAATATTAATATTCGTTGTCATTGAGTTATATGTACTACGTCTTCGCTCATGCGCGAAGACTTTAAGATAAAATAAGATATTAATATAAAATACTTGCTGTTCCCCGCGACTTCGCACGCGTGGAGTTATTTTTCGCGGAACCCTAAAATCAAAGCAGCTCAAGTTACTCCTTATAACATCGGCTATCTGCCAGTGTGTATAAATATTGACGTTAATATTTATAAGATACTAACGTCACTCAATTGTTTTGCCTTCCCGGAACCCCTCCACTAACACTTAAACTTTATGGTATGGTATTAAAGTTCAAAGTGACTTTTAAGTAATATTACGAATCTTTTGTATGGGAATATAGAAAAGTTATGTTTTTAGACTTTTAGGCAGTTTTTTAAATTTTTCTCTCCGTAAGAACCATCTTCGTACTTCAAGAAATATTATAAAAAAAGAATTTTCAACTGCTCTCGAGATTTGCGCTTAGCAACACATTCAGCGATTCATTTTTATATCTAGAACCGATTTCGCTAATTCTTTTTTTATATTGTAGTTATATCGATGTTCGTGGTACAATCTCAGATAAGTTACCATTACCGTATCTTGAATTATGAAGTTTTGTTTTTCAAATTAATTAATATTGTATGGGTCCCTACCCTATTAACAGGGGTCGAGGGACACTTGTGACCTCGTAACTGATGTTCGTAGGCGAGTCTCGTGTTGCCATCATACCTACGGATCCTCAATTTTAACGTAATATTTTTTATTACTAGAAAATATATTTTTTATTAAATATAGATAAAATAATACTACAGATCGAATAACATAGTTATTTAATAATAATAATAATTTAAACAACTGCGCAGGGCTCGTTGTTTCACTAACAATAAAGCTGGGAAAGATAAACAATTTGCGCTGGCACATTATAGGATTATCTGAGGTCCAACCCATTGAAGCTTCGTGTCTAGTGTAAGCTTCGTGTGATTCCAAGAAAAATGTTGGTATTGACAATACTCAGTTCCTCCCCATTTTAAATTACATATGTTTGACATTTGGAGTCATGAATTTCATACATATCGTTTTAGTGCCATTTCAATGCAAATTATGAACATTCAACTAATTTAGATATAGCATAATTTACTTCATCATATTTTAGTAAATGTCTGTGTTTTAATTTGAAAATTAATGAAGTATCATCAGCAAACTTAATATATCATGGTTATCCCCTACTATGTAAGGGAAATGTTTTTGGCAAAGCTCGGTTGCATTTTGGTATGCGAGCATGCTGGACTCAGGATGGCATAATAGTGGTTGAAGCTGCTGATGGGACTAGGTAAAAGATAACCACAATGGATGAGCTGAACTCTCTTACACTAAAATATCCTAAGACAGCAACGGTATCTTCAGGTGAAGGTAAAAGCATCACCAGTAATGAAGGAGAATCGGGCTTGAATTCTAAGTCTCGCAAATAATAGCTGCTGATCAAAATTCGGTTTTAATTTTGATGATAAGATAAGTTCTCCTGATAAGTCAATAATATCTGTATTTAAAAAAGCTTTTACAAGAATTTACTTCACAAATATCCGCGTTATAAAATAAAATGATGTGTCTTACCTAGTATGAAGAGCACCTCCCGCCCTTCCTCAATAGCGTGCACTATCCCCGTCACCACTAATCCCAGCACCGCTACTCCCAACACCACTACACTACGCACGACACACCACTGACGATAATACGACACGTGTTTTGCCTCTACTAAGCAAGTTAGCGCAAGGCTAAGCGCTAAGTGAGCGGCGAGCCAAAACAAATGCCTTTTATACAGACCGATGATGCAACCGCTTTCTACCTAAGGAGCGAGCGACTGCGTCATGCGATAAAACATGCGACCAATCACCGCTAGACTAACGCAGCCGTTTGTAAAATTAAAAACACACCGCCGCGCAACGCCCACTCTCCAACCACGCAACCAATCGCGGATCACCATGAGGGTGACAAACGACCATATTGCGAGGCTCTCTATTATT